TATTTTTCTCTATTTTTCACTGGTTTTTTTTTCCTATTTTTCCCTTTTTCCCATTTTTTTTCACTTTTTCTATTTTTCCCTTTTTCCATTTTTTTTCCTATTTTTCCCTTTTTCCATTTTTCCCCATTTTTCCATTTTTCCTTTTTTCTCTTTTTCCATTTTTCTCTTTTTCTCTTTTCCTCTTTTTCCATTTTTCTCTTTTTTCTCTTTTTTCCATTTTTCCTCTTTTTTCATTTTCCATTTTTTATCACTTTTTTTTCCTTTTTTCCCCATTTTTCCTATTTTGGATTTTTCTCCTTTTTGAATTTTTTCCTTTTTTCCCCTTTTCCCTTTTTGAAATTTTTCTATTTTTTCTCTTTTTTTCGTTTTTCTTCTCAAATTTTCCATTCACTTTTTCCCTTCCACTTTTTTTCCCTTTTTCCATTTTTTCCCTATTTTCCCCCTTTTTCCCCTTTTTTCCCCATTTTCCCCTTTTTTTCCCAGTTTTTCTCTTTTTTCCCCAATTTTTCCCCAATTTTTCCTCGTTTTGCCCCATTTTTCCCCATTTTCCCCTTTTCCACATTTTCTCCCATTTTTCCCATTTTCCCCTCTTCCATTTTTTTCCCAAAAAAGCTCTTTTTTCACTTTTTCCTATTTCCCCATTTCTTCCATTTTTCTCTTTTTTCCCCTTTCCCATTTTTCCTCTTTTCTCTCTTTTTTCCCTCAACTTTTTCTTTTTTTCTTCTTTTTTCATTTTTTCATTTTTTTCGTCATTTTTTTCATTTTTCCCCCTTTTTTCTCAGTTTCCCATTTTTACACTTTTTTCCCCCAATTTTCCACTTTTTCTCCTCACTTTTCCTCTTTTTAAAGATTTTTTCCCCTTTTTCACCATTTTCCCTTTTCTTCATTTTTTCTTCATTTTTTTCCAACACTTTTTCCCTCTTTTCAACATTTTCCCCTTTTCTGCTCTTTTTTAAACCATTTTTCCACATTTTTGCTGTTTTCCCTTTTTTCCCTATTTTTTCCTTCTCCATTTTTCCCTTTTTTGGACTTTTTTTTTGTGCCACTTTTTCCTTTTCAATTTTTCTCCCTTTTTTTCCTTTTTCCCCCGTTTTTCCATTTTCCCTTTTTTCCCCTTTTTCCCCCTAATTTCTCCATTTCTCAATTATTATTTTTTTTAATTTCCACTTCCTTTTTTTTTCCCTTTTCTGAATTTTTCTCCCCTTT